GTGAATATACGGATGCGAAGATCAGAAACTTCTATTTACTTACATCCACACAATGACCGTACAGAATGGTTGTTTTTCAGATTAGTCAATTTTTCCTGATAAATTTTCAAAAAGTAATTATTGATAATGTAAATATTTTTTGGAGACTATATACTAGCAGAATTGAAAATGAAAAATTTCTCAGTATTTACAGTATATACTTCGACTATCATTCATTCATTCATTATTTTCTTGAATTTAAAATTTTGTGCCTTCAAAAACACGTAATTATATTGTAACAATTTTTTTCTTGTGTCACCTCATTATGACTGTGCACATCTCTCATTCATGGAAAGAATGCGAGTTGTTATCATTGATACTACTGCGTTCGAATGATGATGATGCATTCGTTTCGTTCGTTATCGCTGTTCTTTGACGCAGACTTGTACTTTTTTTGCACAAGTACACTTAAAAATGAATGATAAAAAATAATCTTTCGTTTACTAACAAACAAAAGACACTCGCATATCTAACAACTTACCAAGCAACAAAACAAAATACAACAATCCCTATTTAACGAAGAAGACGAACAATTCTTTTCTTGCAATCTTTCTGCCTTTTGCACAATATTATTGAAATTTTTCGAAGATGTGAAAGGTTTTTGCGAAACCTTTTCGAGGGTTTAGACTTCGTTTCAAAATGATTGGGTAACACATCTGTTTTTCAGTACACACCCAACGCATACCGACACTTATATCCTATGATACTGGATGTGGGTGGACGTGGTAGATGTGCATGTGGAATAGTATTTAGGTGTGAATGTTTGGTGTATGTGTAGTGGTTGTGAGTATGAGTATAGCAGTGGGCGTGAGCTGAACATGAGAATGGGATGCATATGTCTGTGTGAATGTAGGTCTTCTCTCCATCCACACTCACATAAACACTCATTGCCATGCCTAGCCCACATCCAACTCTCACATCTACACCCATATCTAGACCCTACAGAAATTCGAAACCTACTCCACACTCATCCACAGTCCACATCTACTTGCATACACACCCATCTGTGAGGATCTGGGTGAAAGTGAACTCATAAAAATGATGTTTGATTCTTTTGTTTAAGATTGATTGAAGAAAATGGATCAGAGTGAGGTTTCATGAATGGACAATTTTATGTTCTATACATCGATATCATCTTCGAATAAACGGCGATCATAGTGGGTGAGAGCGTATATTATTAATACCCATTGATTTTAATTCATTTACAACTTGCTCTCTATATCCGTATTGAAATTGTGAGTAGACCAATACTAAATAGGATTAAAACCTTTGATATCTTATTTTCAACTCTTGTTCACTATTTTTATTTAAACAATTTGATGTTCATAAACGAGATTATGAGTCAATCGATGCTAAGTAGAATTTAAAATTCTAAAATAAACCATTATTTATTATTCGTTTTAACAAATGTCTTGAAAAAGAAACAGAAAGATTTTGTTTGCTTTTGAAACCTTATCAATTTCAAACACATGGCCTCTCTAGTTGCTCAAACAGATTATTATGTTGGAAAAAAACAGACAGCAATAATATTCACTCTATTGTGATTCTATTTTTTTCGATTCTTCTTTCTTCAACAACGATACTGCATTTGTTTCCTCAGTTCTCTTTGATGTGGACTTTTCTCACGAATACTTTTGCAATGTAGGATTAGAAATCTTTCAATAGGAAACAAAGCATATTCTTATAGCAACCCAAGAAAAATATGTATTAATAGAAAGAACAAAAAAAAATCTTTGTGTCTCTCTAAGAAGACTAACGAAGTTCTTTACAACTCTTTCTTTCTTTCGTTCTCCTGCCGCAAGGACGACCATTTGGATGTAGGCGAAGAATAGAATCCTGCGCTTGCAACAAAATAGAACCGATACTCGATTTTTTCAGTCTCTATAACTCAGAATCGAAAATTGTTTTAATAGTTACTAAGGAACTATTCCAATGTAGCATCATTTTCAGTCAAAATTGTTCATGATCGCTGTAGTAGTACATTGTGTAGCTTTTACACTGTTGTGGATGGAAAAGAATGTTGTTTGTTTTTTAATTTTGATATTCTAGTTTAACGTAACATCATTGATAACAATTAATGATAATGATAAAAGCATTTTTTGGGAAATAAACCTTGAAATTTATACCCTTTTGCTATTAGATACAACTCAATGTATTTATTATTGAATATATTGACGACCTTAACTACATTAGAAAATCGGGTGAAATCTTCAATGTTTGTAGAGCTTTTAATTTCTGATGTTTTGATAAACATGTTTATTTCGAAATTCTTTTTATGTTGTTGGAAATAGATTCAAAATATCATAAATGGTGAATCGAACTAAACAGCACTTTGTCGAAATTTTGAAAAAGAAAAGAAGCATTTTTTTTTCAAAGTTTAGGTTTGTTCATTGTTTAAAATGTTCTGAATCTATTTCTAGTAAAATAAAAACTGTTCGAAGGTATATTTACTTGAAAAATGTCTAACATTATAAGCTCTATCAAACGTCGAAGAATAAATCATATGCTAAACTAGTTCAGATCTTTAACATATCTAATTATTACAAATACATTGAGTTATTCCTAGAGAATGATATGGATCTCCAAAGTTCACTTGACAAAAGAATTTTTTTTTCTATTACCTCTAATTCCACGGATTCACCCACAACTGAAATAAATAGAAAACTTATCGCGCAACTATCTTCCTTCTACGATCTGCTATAGAATTGAAGAACAATCTACTACTACAGCAACTACAAAGAAATTTAAAAATGAGTGACAGAGATGATTGTGTTCGTAGTATAGATTATCCTGAAGAAAATTAAGAAAATGAGGAAGTCGAATTTTGTTTTGGACTATTCATATTGATAGTTTCATACCTGCATATTGTATGAAAGTATTTTCCTTCTTGATCTTTTCAATTTTTTTTAACTATTTGGAGAAGTAGTTTTTTTCTGATGAAATAATAAACATGAACAATCTTAAAATTGAAAAATGAGAATTCGAAAAAAAAATAAATCTATTACTCGATTGATATTATTGATATAATTGTAAAATTATCGGTTCCTAGAACAGATTTTAGGAAGCAAAGAAGGAATCGTTCTTTTTTTCGTTTTTTCTAATCACAATCCGCAATTCCAGTTTGGTTCCGAGTAATTTTGAGAACTGTCGAGTTCTAGCGAAGAACATGATTCTCATATTATCTTTATTGAAGAATGCTATTGTCCATAATTCAGTTTTACCCATTTGTTAGCTTTTAGATAGAAGGATCATGTTAACAATTGTATTTCATCAAAGAAATATAAAAAAAAACATTACTATTCGAACGAATGTTTTTTCGTTACTATCATAATCTTTGAAAAGTCACAGAATACTTCTTATATCTAAAAGTATTATACTCAGGGTAAATAATAAAATTTTCAATATTCTCATTGTATCGGTCACTTATCTTAATTGTTTATGTGATTAACAAATGAAATGATTCATTAGAAGAGAAAATACAACGCTAATAGATTTCAGGCACAGCCTATTTTAATCAATCTATTCTCGAAAAATTTATCGAAACCCATTATTTTTCAAATAACTCTAAATAATCGATTATATATCTAACCAATTTTCTTATGTGTTCCAATTAATCTATAATAAACGATTTTCTCACCAACAATCGATTAGAAACCTAATTAATATTCACAGATTTTGAAAACAATCTGTTATAATCCGACTTATTGCGAATACTATATTGAAATTTGTTTTCCTTCGAATAGCTCTAAGTAAGCAAATAGAAATCTAATCAGTATTAATATCCCATGTAAAAAAAGAACTCACAATAAATTAGAATAATACTGATTATGCTCCGAAAAATCAAGAAGAATTGGTTATATGTGCAATGTCGGATTAAACTGAATCATTTAATCAATTATAAATGATTTCTACAGATGTTGATTAATTAAGACCGATTCGTTTGGCAATAAGTTGAAATGTCTATCAAAAAACCAATCGATCATAATAGATTCTATGAATAATCTATTAAAATCTGTTATTCAGTATATAATTGAAATAATCCGTGAAAAATCCAATCTATTCTGATCGATTCGATTTTTTATTAATTATTTGGACTATTAAGTAGATAACAAATTTTAATAGATTATTCTTAGGATCTATTATAATCGATTGGTTTTTTGAATTGATTATCGTTTGTAGAAATCACTTATAATTCATTAAATTATTCAACTTAATCCAACATTGATATATATAATCTAATTTCTTGTGGCTTTATTTTTTTGTTTTACATGTGTAAGTCAGAACGACACGTCCGGTTTTCAGCATACTCTACGACGATCAATGTCTAAATTAGTCATCAAGATATGTTGTAAACTACTTTAATCGCATAAAAATTATTCGAACTTAGTATTTCTCTCATCATGAAATCGAAGTGTAAAAAATAAGACTCATCAGTTTTTTATTCTAATTGATTTTAATTGATTTCCAATGTAATTGCGCCATTTCTCTTTGAAACAATTTATATAAAGGTTCTAATTTTCTTATACTTGGATGACTTTGATTCAATGGTAATCGTACAATTTGTAAACACAAGCATTTCAAATAATCAAACAAAATTTTAGATTTCTTGTTCGAATCTCGAGAAAATCACTTATCTTCAATATATAAAATTGTAATGGATTAAAACGTAAGAGCCAATTATAATAAATTAATAGGGAAGGAACCGTGTAAATAAGACAAAATAAATTTACAATCATATAAAACAAAGCTCCTCCTTCCTTCGTCTTTTTCAAATTAACGCTAGGTAACATGTCTCTATGTCGGAAAAAAAGCACAAAAATAAAAGAACATTGATAGATGATAAAATAAACCAAGAAGCTTTCATTCTCTTTGATTAGCATTTTCATTCATTCATTTGTGATTTCAGATTAACATTCTTTAATATTTATTATCTATATTTACGTCACATACAATCAATCAATATGGATTGTGGAGCATCCGCGCCAATGCCAATAGGCAATCTACCCAACGAACGTTCATCATTATTACCAACATCATCCACTACATTAAATCAACAATTAGATTTAAATCAAAATCCAAAACGAGATCGTCGTCGAATCGTCGTACCTTTAGATGAACTTGTTCAAAATTTTCTTCTTGTATGGTTGGATGAAAAATTCGATGAATCAGTAGACGATTATGGTCATTCAATCAAACAGCTACGACGTACCGTTAATAAGATTGAAACATTCTGCGAAACTGATGAATGTGTCGAGTATATGCTACAATTTCAAAACCAAAAAATACTTCTTATTATTTCTGGTGCTTTATGTAACAGTGTTGTGCCACACATACATAATATGACACAACTGTATTCAATTTATGTGTTCAGTCAAAAGAAAGAAAAGTATGAAGAATGGGCAAAAGACTGGTCCAAAGTGAAAGGTATTTTCACTGAAATTATTCCAATTTGTGATGCAGTTCGACAATCTGCTCGACAATGTGACGAAGATTCTGTCCCAATCGGTTCTGAAATCGAACCCTCATTCATGTATACACAACTTTTCAAAGAAATTATTCTCACAATCGATTTTGATAAAACGAAAGAAGTGAAAGAATTAGTCGAATATGCCCGTAAACACCCGGGCTATGTCGAAAATAATGCACAGTTGAAACTTATCAATAAATTCGGTGAAGAGTACGGTGACGATAATATAACCTTTGAAGTTATTGATAAACATGGTAAACATCATCCCGGAAGTGTCGATGACAAACCCATTTGGTGGTACACCCAGCAATGTTTTACGTACCAACTTGTCAACAAAGCTCTACGCTCTCTAGACGTCAATACTCTTCTAAAAATGGGTTTCTTCATTTGTGACGTTCACCATAATATCGAAAAACTTAATCTCGAACAATCTAATGGAACTCAGGCAATTACTTTACCAAGTACTGTGTATCGAGGTCAAATCATGAGAAAGGAAGATTTTCGAAACAAAATTAAACAAGATAAACTAATATCCTTTAATAGTTTTTTATCAACAAGTGAAGATCGCATGATTGCACTGCGCTTTACTTCGTCTACTGACAATAATATGATCGCTGTACTATTCATCATAACAATTGATCGATCACATTCATCTTCACCATCATCAGCAGCGATCTTTGCCTCCGTCAGTGCCATTAGCAAGTATCCAAACGAAAAAGAGATTCTCTTCTCTACTCATACCATTTTTCGCGTCCAGAAAATCGAACCTAAGAAAGAAAACGGAAGAACATTACAGCAAGTACACCTAACGCTCACCAATGACAACAATGACCATCAGCTAAGTGATCTCACCAAACAATTACGAAAAGAGATTACTGGTACAGGATGGCAAAAAATGGGTACATTATTATGGAAACTCCGCGAGAATAACAAAGCCGAACAATTGTACAACATGTTACTCAACGAGGCATCAAATGAAGATGATGAATCCGACTGTTATCACTGCCTTGGAGTGATTAAGTATAATCTAGGACAATACGATGAGGCCATCGAATTTTATCAAAAATCTTTAGATATCAAAGAGAAAACTCTCCCTCCGAATCATCCCTCCTTGGCTGCTTCCTACAACAATATCGGTATGGTGTATGATGAAATGGGCGAGTACTTGAAAGCACTTTCATCGTATGAACGATCACTTGAAATCCAAAAAATAGCTCTCCCTCCGAATCATCCCGACTTGGCTGGTTCCTACAACAACATCGGTTTGGTGTATTATAACATGGGCGAGTACTTGAAAGCACTTTCATCGTACGAACGATCACTTGAAATCCAAAAAATAGCTCTTCCTCCGAATCATCCCGACTTGGCTACTTCCTACAACAACATAGGTCTGGTGTATGATAAGATGGGCGAGTACTCGAAAGCACTTTCATCGTACGAACGATCACTTGAAATTCGAAAAATAGCTCTCCCTCCGAATCATCCTGGCTTGGCTCAATCCTACAACAACATCGGTATGGTGCACGATAAGATGGGCGAGTACTCGAAAGCACTTTCATCGTATGAACGATCACTTGAAATCCAAAAAATAGCTCTCCCTCCGAATCATCCCGACTTGGCTTCTTCCTACAACAATATCGGTATGCTGTATTATAACATGGGCGAGTACACGAAAGCACTTTCATCGCACGAACGATCACTTGAAATCAAAAAAATAGCTCTCCCTCCGAATCATCCCTTATTGGCTTCTTCCTACGGCAACATCGGTAATGTGTATGATAAAATGGGCGAGTACTCGAAAGCACTTTCATCGTATGAACGATCACTTGAAATCAAAAAAATAGCTCTCCCTCCGAATCATCCCGACTTGGCTACTTTCTACAACAACATCGGTTTGGTGTATTATAACATGGACGAGTACTCGAAAGCACTTTCATATTACAAAAAGGCGCAAGGAATCTTCCAAAAATCACTACCTCCAAATCATCCACATATTGCACTTGTGAAAAGAAACATTGACAATGTGAAAAAGAAAAAGTAATTGTTTTTTTCTTAAACAAGAAAATAAATTGACCTTCTTGAACACGTTTGGCTCGCCGAAGCGCACCAGCTGCAAAAATTTCGCGCACGCGCGACCAGGGATACCCTCCGTATCCTGTTGGGTTGTACAGTGGACAACGCCGGCAATGATAAGGCAAACATACATTTATGTATGAATGACTGGTACATCCATGATCATCATCTTCGGAAAGACGATGATCAGATGGATGCTTCTAGTCATACATACATAGATGTATGTTATAAAGGCCTACCATCTACACGCCTGTACAGGTTACCAACAGAACGTCGGATATCCCTGGGAAGGTTCATTTTGTTTTAGAGCCACCCTCGAAAGCTCCATTTGTTTTTTCTTCTGTTACGAAGAACGAGAAGAAACAAAGAAACGCGAAGAAAGACGACGTTGACGGAATTTTAATACACGCAGCGTATGATGACAACCGGTTGTTTTAACGCATGCTGTGATATCGAGTGCACGATATCTATGTCGTCTTTACACATATTATGTTCAATTTATTTTTCTTTTCATCTTGAATGTGTAAGAACAAATGAGATGTCGTGCACTCAGTATCATGCTACAAGAGTGATGACTGAACGGAAGAAGAACACAAAAAAAATTATCGACTATTCTCTTTGATTAGTAACATACACATATATAAGAGATAATTGAAAGAAGAAAATGAAAAAGGAATTTTTATAAATTTAATGATTTTTGTTACTTATTACATCAGTTTTACAAAAATATTATTTTACGATCATATTGATTGAATATAATATAATAAAACAGAAGTTCAAATAGATCAAGTGCAGTAAAGCCATCGACACATTAGAAGACCCGGGGTCTTCTATTCTGTCT